CTCCTGTGTCAGGAAACCTAGAAATTGAAGTGATTGTCAATGTTACAGTATTATAAAAAACAATTGGATCATTCCAGTGCTCCAGCCTGGAACTGATGCAACACATTTCACCCGCTGAGAAAGTAAAAACATCTGTAAATCTGTTATTTTGTACTTTTCTTCTCAACACAAAACACAATTCTAAGAGTAATTCACATCAAAATCCAAGAATCCTGAAAAAGTCAGCTGGACATCAGTGCTAACAGAACTGAAGCACTCCCAAAATGCAAATAAGGGGGGTCAATCAGTCCCCCTGCTGTGAAACACAACTTGTAACCCAAATGGAGACACCTCTGTCCCACAGAAGCACATTTTAACAGAAAGTTAGTAATACAACATCCAGCAAAAACATTTGACAATATTTCATAAAACAATCTTGAAACACAAATCACTTCCGCACAATCTCAGCACAATTCAGACACAGACAGACGAATAAACAGCAGCGCGTGGTGGAACATAGGCTACAGTATAACGGGGGGAGACAGACACAGCAATAGATCAACCCGCAGCCAAGCACGCACACAAACACAAAGAAACATACAAAACACAGAAACTTAGACAACGTCGTAGTTCAGTCAAGAAAAGACAGAAAAGAAAAGAAAATGTCAGGTGCTGGCGAAAAGAATGTATCACGCATCTTTTAATTTTCCAATTTCAATTTTAAAAATCCCTTTTATTCTCATTTCAACTTCTCAGTCCAACACTTCAGAGCTGGGTCAAGCTCGAGGCGAAAATAAGCCTCAATTTAGTTTATTCGATCAATCAATCCGCCCAGTGACAAAAGGTTTTTTTTTTTTTTTCTTTTTCAGCTGGGGAGAGCGATTGAACCCGTACTAAATCAAATAATCTATTTTAGTCCTTTATACTATAAGCAACCCGCTTAAGGGTGCCAAAGAAAGGTGATCCAACCTGCTATTAGTCCTTTATTTTCCACGAGTGATACAACTCGGTCCAATTAACCTGCTATTAGTCCTTTTCCATGAGTGATACAACTCGATCCAATTAACCCAAATAATTATAAGTCCACTGGAGATGAGTCGAAATCTCCGGCTGATACAAGCCAAAACTAACCAATACACAAATTTCCAAAATACTTTTTTTAGAGGCCCAGGCATTGCTCCTCAGGGTAAAAAGAATATACATTTTTTAAAACCCAGCTTAAGTCAGAGTTAACGTAAAGGCTCTGTTTGAACTAGCCACAGTTCCCTGTAATGTGTATTTATTCAAATCCTTAAACAACCGACTCTTTTAGAAGGGATTCTATCTACCTCTGCAGCATCTGAATTCTGTGAGGCCGCACACAGCAAATCAGCCCCGGTCCGACCACACGGCGCTTCAGACAACTAAAAAATAATCAAATACTGTCTTACCACACCGAAGCGTCGGGCCGAAACGGATCAATCTGGACCAAACAGCCGCCCGCCGAGATTCCAGAACCGGCACGAGCCCCCAATTGTTAAGGAAGAAAATATTCTAAATAGTTAACTTTGGAAAAAGGTTGGGTGTTTCTCTTCCTCTCCCAGGTGCGCTCAGCGAGCTGCGTGTGGCCCCCAAGGAAAACCAGCAAGATATGCGAACGTCACAGAATCACAGAATTTAATCCAACAAAAAACAGCTTATGAATTAACAACAAAACTGCAGAACAACAGAGACATACATTCCATTACCTGACATAGGAGGAAAGAAAGCAAAGACTACAGAGACATCTTTGGAGAGTTGCAAGGGCAAATCTGATCTGTAACTTCTATTTAGAAAGCTTTATCCTCTTGTATCTAATCCATTCAAAAAGGGCTGGCCCTCGGTCCTCCAACCAAAAGCCATCTCTGACACTGCCTAAAACTTTACCTAATTTACTGCAAACATCTGGGGTCATTTGCTTCTTTGTTTTAACAAGAAAAGGCGGAAAGCTTGTCCTGGCATCTAGAATTCTTAAAGTCATAAAACACAAGATAAGCTTCCACAGACAGCTTGTGGAATGCGGGGGCCTTTTTCCTGATTCAGTTTTCACACCATCCCTGGTTGTTTATTCTGGAAGACTTTTGACCTTCTGTAAACCAAGCAGAAATCTCTCCTGCAGGCTTAACTGTTATTCACCCCCCAGGAGATACTCATTCTATTGCCTGGTGCTCTAAATATTTACCCATTAGTAGTTTTAAATCATCAACACAGCCTTATTCAAAATTAAGAAATATGTTCAAGTGAGAGTGTTTACACATGCCATAAGATTAACTGTATTAAAGTCTAAAAAATAATCATTTTTCTTTAACAACATATAGTGATAACAAACATAATGGAAAGGTAGGTGAATCACAAGTTATGTGAATTACAAACACATTTGTCCTTACAATGAAAATAATTTAAAAAAGAGAAATTTTATCAAAAGAATTTAACTCCTAATCACAACAATTTATTTTTCTTCATATGTATATGGACCTTCATGCTGAAACACCCTTACTGGCAAAACTTCAGTTTATCTTTTATCAGCACTCTTCCTGCAAACTGGAATTCTGCGGAGTTCCAGTTCAAGACATTCCCTTCAGGAAAGTGTTTCTCTTCCATAAAGCCCTGGATCTCACATGGGGAGAGGGTGTAGTTCCACATATGAACATCCGCCATCATTCCAACAAACGATTGATCGGCGTTAAAACCACCACCGTATGAATCCTGGTCCTGTAGGAAAGGCAGAGGTATGAGATAGAACTTTAAAAGGTCAGTATTTCACATCTTTAAATTGTGATAATTCAACAGCTACACTACAAGCTTCTCTTAAAAGTACAACAATCTTCAAGTGCATCAACGCATCTTCAGCCTAATCGCTGATCTGTTCAAGAGCTGAATTCTGAATTCATATCCAGCAGCCACCTCTGTCACCAAATGATCATTTACTAAACACAATGCTGTATATACATAAAAGAGAAAAAGCTTGAAGTCCCATGATATGCTACATTTGAAAAGGAAAAATGATTTAACATTGAGGTTTGTCATTCACCTGGATTTACACAAACAAGTATTTAGTTTACAATAAGGTGAAAATGTATCTTCTGTAGCCTTTTTATAGTCTATTTCCTTTCTAGAGATAGTTTCATATGATACAAACCTGTTCAAAGTCTTACTTTTACTTATTATTTAGGTAGGAAACACAATTCATGAAGGCCTTTGGCACAATTCAAATGAGCCATTTTGGTCTAGATTAATCTAGATTAATTCCAAGATTACAGCGAGATTATTCTAGATTACAAATAATCTATAACCACCACTAGTTTTTTTTTTAACTATATCATATAAACCCCTCCTGTTCTTATTCTCCTTACAGTTTGTCTGTTAAATTATTTTTTGTTGAATTTGGTTTGTTTTGTACTTTTTGGCTAAGTGTGAACTGTCTTTTTGGCTAAGTGTGAACTGTCCAGTAATACAAATGATTGACCTATAATGGATAGAGTGCTCTGTGTGTACTAATTAAAAGCTTACCTGCCCTAAAACAATGATCAATGGTCCATTGATATTGTTTCCAGAGGTGGTATATCTAAAGCTTGATGGATTTCCATTCAACCACATCTGTGTGAGTCCAGATGAGGAGTCCCATGTTCCACATATAGATTGCCACATGTTCAGCTTATAGTCCTGAGATTCAGGCTGTACAAGTTCATTTTGGACCGCGAAATGAAAGAGGTCACGTTGAGCTTTTTTAAAGATCAGAAAGGCATTAGCTGCAGTGGGTAGGGACATAGAGAACAGTGAATGATCTCTTTTAAGTTCTGTGAAGGACCTGTACACATAGTAGAGGCATATTTCATTATCTTAGCAGTTTTGCAAGCAATATCCAGGTTCTTTGTTAAAAATTAATAAAAGCAATACTACCTGAAACAGACGGTGACGGCACTTAGATCTTGTGTTGTTCTAAACCTCATGTGTGCTGTTGCGGTTTGTTGTGGGAAGATGACCATTTTACCTGAAAGATCTTAGAAAAAGGCAAGGCAAGGCAAGGCAAATGTATTTGTATAGCACAATTTAGTACAAAGACAATGCAAAGTGCTTTACGTGATTAAAATACAGGAAGATAAAACAGAATCAAAGCAAGTAGGAAAAAAATTAAAAATTAAAAAATAAAATAAAAATGCAGAAACAAAAAAGAATATTAAAAACAGTTGAACTAAAGAAAATATGTTTTAGTTGAACTGTTTAACTAGAACAGTGGAAGGCAATCCTAAACAAATGCGTTTTTAGTCTTGATTTAAAGGAATTCAGGCTTTCCGCACTTTTACAGTTTTCTGGAAGTTTGTTCCAGATAAGTGGAGCATAGGAACTAAATGCTGCTTCTCCATGTTAAGTTCTGGTTTTAGGTATGCAGAGCAGGCTGGAGCCAGAAGACCTGAGTGGTCTGGAGGGTTGATACTGGAGGGAGTTGTGAGTTGTTATAAATAAATAAATCGGATAAATTCTAACCGAAACAAATATAGGGAAAAAAAGGGTTTGAAATTCACTTCAGACACGGAATGGCTAGTTCTTTTAATGTACTTTTACTGTTATCTTTTTATTATAAAAATGTACACATTCATATAATTAAATTATTGTGTTAACAGACTTTACCATTGAATTTTCTGTACGGTGTTCCTGTCCTTCGCTATAATTTACTTTTATTTAATATACAATGACTTACTTTTGGGGATTTAAGTTTATATGAACATATTAGGCTAAATGTCTCCACTGCAAATATGTATAAATGTTTTTTCATTTCTTTGCTATAAATTTTATCTTTAATCTGACTGTTGGTTTACACTTATACACTTTCTTAGTTCCACATTTGTGTGACCTTCTTTTTTCTATAATCTTTTTGCTGCTGTAAACACCAGAACTTTCCCATTGTGGGACAATAAAGGGATTTTCAAAATAAAAGTAATGTACAGATAAAAACTGAAAGACACGTCCTTGTTGCTAGCAATTTAATTTTTTTATTTTTTTTGGTCTAATCTGCATCAGCTTTGGGAAATATAGAAATCTGTTCTTTACCTTGTGGACTGACAGCACATGCTGTCACCAGTAGGAGCAAGAGCAGCATCTAAAATACAACATAAACAAAAGAAGAAAGTCAAACATATAACATAGAATTGCTAAAACTTTGATTGTCTTTCTGAAAATAAAATTTTGTTTTGTTTTCTTGGTAAAGTTTTCTCTCCTTCTGCAAAGTATAACTTACCTTAGTCATTGTGTCTGTGATTGGATCTGTGAGCGAAGGCATCGCTCTCTGGCTTTTATACTCAGCTTGTTTTTCAAAAAAGCAGGATTTTATTGTTACCGTAGAAGTTCTTCAGAACACATCAATGATTGATAGATGAAATATTCTGTTCAAACATTAACTACACTCCATACTTTTTAATCTGTTGACTGATTCAAAACTCCACAAATTTAAATTTAGTGACAAATAATGGAAAAGTGCCATTTTTATTAAGTTGTCTATTCCTTTTATTGTTTATTGATATTGGAATTATTCTTTAAATGTTTGCTGCTATAGAGCCATGTGTTTTACTTAAGCTGTTTGACCTTTTCGCTTCCTGAAAAAATAACTATCAATAGTAGATAACAAGGATAACAAGACCAACAAGGAAATAAAAGCATGACCTAGTTTAGGAATGAGGAGAAATTTATTCCTGTGTAAAGATTTAATCTTCAAAAGGTTTCCTTGCATTAAAACACGTGCCAGCTTGTTATCACGTGCAAACCCGATCAGGTGCATACTCCTGCTCCCTCATTACCTTTCTAGACACCTAGTGCTAAAAACAGTTTCATCAAGAGATAAACTAGCAAATAACTGTTCCACCTTAGTCCCATAGCTCTTATTGGGCTGTAGCTATTAACTCTTTTATTAATCGATTAAACAATTAATTGTTTTTTCAGTTAATCTAAAAAAACACTCGGTAAATCCTTGTCATACTCGTTGTCACACGCTTATTCCACGACCGGGTTGCAGGGGAAGCAATCTATGTACAGACCCCCAGACTTCTCCATCCACAAACACCTCCTCCAGCTATGCTGGGGGAAGCTTAGGACAGCCATGTCCTGGGTCGACCCCTGTCCTTTCCCCCAGTAGGACGTGCCTGAAACACCTACCAAGGAAGGTGTCATCAAAAAAGATGTCCGAGCCACCTCATGTAAATGCCATGTACTTATATAGCGCCTTCTTTCAAGTCAGGAGACTTGACCAAAGCGCTTTACACTACATTCATTCACCCATTCACACACTCACGGTGGATAGCTACATTGTAGCCACAGCTGCCCTGGGGCTCACTGACAGAAGCGGGGCTGCCGTACACTGGCGCCACTGGGCCCTCTGACCACCATCAGTAGACAATGCAGGTGAAGTGTCTTGCCCAAGGACACAATGACAATGAAAGTCAGAGCCGGGGCTTGAACCGTCAATCCTTCGATTTTAGGGCAAACTCCTACATCCAACGTCACCGTCGCCCACATGTGACTCCTTTTGATGTGAAAGACAAGCAGCTCTACTCCGAGCCCCTCCCAGATGACAGATCTCCTCAACCGATCTCTAACGGAATGCCCAGCCACTCTGCGAAGAAAGCTCATTTTAGCCAATTGAGTCCGGGATCTCTTTCTTTCATTCATGATCCAGATTTGAAGACCTTAGGTGAGGGTGGAAGTGTAACTAAGAAAAAAAAAAGTCCAAAAAAGAAAAATCAACCCACTAAAGGTGAACGAGGGCAACCGAAACTCTTTGGAGGCCGGCCGTGGGGCCGGAGGTGAGGAAGATTCTCTACTTCCCCGCCAATGGGCTCTGGTGCTAGGGGAACTGGCCCGCTAATGGGCTCTGGCGCTAGGGGATCAGGGCCGTTAAGGGCACTGGTGCCAGGGGATCTGGCCCCCTAAAGGGCTCTGGTGCTAGGGGATCTGGTCCACTAAAGGGCTCTGGCGCTAGGGGATCAGGCCAGTTAAGGGCACTGGCGCCAGGGGATCTGCTCTGCTAAATAGCTCTGGCGCTAGGGTATCAGGCCCGTTAAGGGCACTGGCGCCAGGGGATCTGGTCCGCTAAATGGATCTGGCGCTAGGGGATCTGGTCCGCTAATTGGATCTGGCGCTAGGGGATCTGGTCCGCTAATGGGCTCAGGCGCTAGGGGATCTGGTCCGCTAATGGGCTCTGGCGCTAAGGGATCTGGCCCCCTAAAGGACTCTGGTGCTAGGGGATCTGGTCCGCTAAAGGGCTCTGGCGCTAGGGGATCTGGTCCGCTAATGGGCTCTGGCGCTAAGGGATCTGGCCCCCTAAAGGACTCTGGTGCTAGGGGATCTGGTCCGCTAAAGGGCTCTGGCGCTAGGGGATTTGGTCAGCTAATGGGCTCTGGCGCTAAGGGATCTGGCCCCCTAAAGGACTCTGGTGCTAGGGGATCTGGTCTGCTAATGGGCTCTGGCGCTAAGGGATCTGGCTGGCTAAAGGGCTCTGGTGCCAGGGGATTTGGTTCGCTAATGGGTTCTGGCGCTAGGGGATCTGGCTTGCTAAAGGGCTCTGGCTCAGGATCTGACCCACTAAAGGGCTCTGGCACAGGATCAGAACCGCTAATGGGATCTGGCTTGGGAAGTGCTGGCTGGCAGGGAGCTGATGGAGGTGGAAGGAAAGCGAATAGATCTTCCCTTTCCCCATAATCGAAGTCCCATAACTGAGACTCCTCGAGATAAGGAGCTCTTACTGCGGGGGGTGTAATATGTGGACCAGGTTTGAGTCTTGTCATAGATGGGGCTAGCTGTTAGTCATGGAGGTGATTACTGAGACTAGAAAATCTGACCTGTTTAGGAGGGAAGATGAAGCAGGTATCCGGTTGACCCACACCGGAGAGGGAGTGGAGGCGTCAGGCTGACCCGCCGGAGGGGAAGTAACCTTCTTCCCCCGGCGGCAGTGCTTATGCCTGGAGGAAGCAGATGACAGAGGAGGACCAACAGCTGGTGGTGGTGAAGGAACAAGATCGAAGGTAAGAGACAGCAGAGCAGGTTGGTGACATAGTGATGGTTTAGGAGAAAAAGGTTTATTGAAGAGCTGAGCGAAAGCATCCTGGACATTCCACTCAGCTTCTGCAATATAACAAGTCTCACAAAAAAAGTACGGAGTTAAAGAAACTTCTCCAGTCTCTTGTTTACCTCCTCTGCTGCAAGACCCGCTCCCAAGGAAGACTGATGAAGGGGAGACTGTCAAGTATGGATCTGATGACTGAGAGTAATTTTCCTGCCACATTGGTTGGCTCTGCGGGGTCCATGATGGCTGGTTCCTACTGTCATGATTTGGTTAAGGTCAGAGGACCCAAATGCAGAGGCAATAAACACAGGTAACAGAGGCGGGAATCAAAAAATCCAAAATCCACCATTGTTGTTCCATTTTTCCCCCTAGCTTTTTTAATTGCCATTACACTGTCACATTTACAGAGCAACAAAATTAACTATGCGTTTAACGAATCCCCTTGGGAACCAGTGGGCTGCCGTTGTGTGGCACTAGGGGAGCAGTGTGGTGCTTGAATCCAGAACCTCAGGATTTCAAGCTCTATGCCCTAACCGCTCCCACTGTTGACGGTTATCACTCAGGCAGGAAGTGAATGGATTCCTGCTTCTTTTATATATGAGACTGATTGCATTTGATAAACTGCACCTGTGAGGAGGGGCAGCAGGAGTGGCACTGTGTGCTCAGTCCAGCATAGCAAAGCCCTCCAGCAGAGACTCTCTGGAAATGGAACCAAGCAGAACACAATGCTAAAAACATCTGTTTTCCTGACACACTTCAACCAACTCCTCCTTCAAACTACACTGTAATTTAGATCACTAAGTTAGCCAATCAGGTTTGTTCAGTTTAGGTTTAAAAAAGTCTTAAAGAGGCATAGTCATGCTATTTGCCTATGCAAAAAACACCATTTGGTTATGATAAAATAGAATTCTATACATCAAGCATTCTGCACTGACAGTGTTTAGCCATTTTTAAGCTCAAATAGAACACCTGCATCGCGATTAAAGGAGAAGTCCGGTCATATTCAGGATTCAAACGTTTAAAAGTACTTTAAATATGAAATTATTACATATTGTTCAATAAATGATAAGTGTTTTGAATGTGCTTTACTGGAGGCATCCATGTTTGTCAAAGAACACTACTGCCACCTACTGGTTTGTGACGTCACGGTGCGGTATCGGCTGTTGATCAAGTCCCGTGCTGTATCTGGTGTTTGTCACAACGCGCTATTATCCAAGTCATCTTGAAAACATTCTTCTTCCAAATGTTGGCTACATATTACGGGTTTTTTCTCTGGCCAGAAGTTCGATGGCAAATCCTCCCTCTTTAAGTTGGCGATCCAACGACCAACCCGTCCGTGGAGGATCAGGAATCAGAAAGGAGAAATAACTCTTTTTTTGCAGGTATCGACTGAACAAAAAAAGGAAGCATCTATTTTATTATTACTAAAGTTCTTTTTAATTTTGTCTCTTAGTTTAGGTGTATGGTCGGTCATGCTCATAAGCAATGGCTCTAATAGCCGATGCTTTGTAGTGAATAGAAAGAGCTCCAGCTCCCATTGAGTCAGAGCGGCTCCCCCCTTTTTCTTCCTTTTCGCTGCTCAGTTCTCCCTCAGTGGCGCCGCCCTGCTGATCATGGCAGAACTTAGTTTTGTCTGACAGCTTGGCGGCCTTTTGGCCAATCACAGGTGAAGATATGGTATCATGCCATTTTGCAACACTTAATAAGGGGGGTTGCTTTTGTTTTTGTTATGTTTCTGTTCAGCTGATTTGTTTACAACCATTTGATCAAACAAAAAAATTTACTGAAATACAGAACAGTTATACACTGCAAAAAACGTTAATCTAAATAAGTAATTTTTTTCTTCAAATAAATGAGTTTTGTCTTGAATTGAGGAGGGGAAGTGAGAGACTTTGCAAATGGAACAAGACAATTTAAATTTAAAATAAGAAAAAAACAACTGCATCGTATTATTTCAAGTGCATTTGATCCAATTATCTTATTTTAAGAGTAAAAATACTCATTCCATTGGCAGATCATCTTATTTACCTACTCAAATTCAGGGTAAATAAACTAAATTTAAGAAATTTTTACTTATTTCTAGATCGTTTTTGCAGTGTATCGACCTTCTTAAGAGAAGGAATTACGCTTGTCGTGGGAATAAGTAAACCACCCCTCACTCGGACATTTTCTCAGCCTTGCAGGTGAAACAAACTGAGTAAAAACATTTTTCACTGGATAAATAGCATAACTAAATATATAAGACAAGAGAAATCTAAATTTTCAGACCACAAAGCCTATGTAGACAGGGTGTCTGCCTCACGGATTAAAACTGGTAGTTGGTTCCACAGGAGAGGAGCCTGAGAACTAAAAGATCTGCCTCCCATTCTACTTTTAGAAATTCTAGGAACCAATAGTAAACCTGCAGATTGAGAGCAAAGTGCTCTGCTGGTGAAATGAGGAAAAAAAAAATGTTCCTCTGAAGTTACATGCGTGAGTTTTTAAAAAAAGGAGCCAACATGGTGCCTTGATATTCACCGATTGCTGAACCAGAGCAATTACTTCGTATTTCTCAAATTAAGCTGATAGTGAATTAAATTCCAGATTCCTGCTTTAAATGTTTGAACAAATGAAGAAAGAAATACTTTCTGGTAATGTAAGGATTTTTATTAAATTCAAATTTGAACAGTATTGGTTGAAATTTAACAAATATTTATCCGTGTGAAAATACCAGAAGAATATGGTATAAAAAGAGTACAGTATATGTAGGAAACTAGTAGTTTAAAATATATTTATATAGCTAGGAAGACAGCTAAAAAAAACCCAGGGAAAGAAACAAAGACAGGGTGCATATGAACTTTTTAAAATATTTTGTTTAGCTTTGAAGTAACACCATGAAGTAAGAGCAAAGTTTGAGAACAAAATCCAACCAATAAACCCTGGTTACCATGCAGACAGGTGATGGGACACAGTGGATGGTCAGCTGGATTCACGCAAAACAAACCAAAGGTTGGCGTCTTAATACCTGCTCACGTTTCCTCACAGACACAGGGTTCCCGCTGGGTCTGAAAAAGCTCTAAAAAGTCTAAAATTGAACTTTTGGAAACTTGGAGGAACTGAGACGTCTGTGGTAACAATGTTAAAAGGGTCACAAACTCTCATCGCTGCTTCAATCAGTCATTTAGAAAATATTCAGGTCAATTTCAGACACATGCTCCCAAATACTTGTAATAATAAGAATTAAAAACTCTAAACAAATCAATTTCATGTTATTTATCCCATTAAAGTACCATAAACAAGAAAAAAAATATTTTGCACAAATGTGCAGATTTTTTTCAAAAGGGTTAATTTAAAATGAATAAATAAGGAGAATGTATATATATATATGTATATATATACAAAATTATTAGAATCAAAGATATTTACAATTACATTTTTGAGATGCCACTTTTTTTTTGTTTTTCTGTACACGCTTATAGAGTGAGTGGACAGGAATGCACAGTGGTCTGCCTCCTGCTGGCCAGGGAGAGGCATTGCAACAGTGAACATGCTCCTGCTCCTCATTTGTCCTCTTAATTATGGAGTGAATTTCTTCCATTTTTGTTGCGACTAAAGGACACGCTTTGTAAATAAAAATAAACAAAACAAGTTTTGTAAATTAAATTCAAAAGATAAGCCATCCAGAAATCACATTTTGAAAAACGTCTTTAAAAAAGGTTTTGAGAACTTTACTGTTTTTTATTTTTTCACTGCATTTTTTTTATTTCTTTTCAGTTCTTTTTTTCATATTTTATTTTTCCAAAGCGTTCGTATTGAGCATGAAGTGAAGAGAGTGGGCTCTGCGAGATGCAATAAGAAAAAAAAGACTGCAATTCATTAAACTCTAAATAAAAAAAAGAAATAAAAAAATACACTTTTGAAGATAGAAATGAAAATATAAGTAATGTGAATTTAAAAAAAATCTAAAACAACAGTAGATTTACTTGCAAAACCTTTTTTTATTAAAGGTATACTATGCAACCAGTGTTGATTTTCCAGCGAGGCTCCCCCCAGAGGGCGAAAGTAAAAGTGCACTGTCGTAAATATGCTCAGCTGTTCTCCTGGTTTCTCCATCAAGCCACGCGCGGTTGTTTTGAGCTTAGCAGACAGGCGAACGCGACAAATCACCATGTCTACTGCGGTAAGTGACTATTTGGTTCCAAATTTCGAGTTTGAAAATTTTGCATGTTTTCATACATTATTTGTTATGCATGTGCTTTCGCTGTTTTCTCGCTGGTTCCGCCATGATAACTGCACAAATATCGCCACTGCGCTAGCAACAAGCATGCCTTTCACTGGGGGCGTGTAGCAGTTTTCGCCGTAAAGCAAGACCGACTCTCACGATGCACGAGACTTCTGAGCCTGTGGGTGCGGGCCGAGGGCTCCTGCAATTGCAAGTACGGTAGTTCCCCTACAGACCACCAGGGCGGCCGAGAAAACCTTTGTTCCACCTGAAATTTTGCATAGTATGCCTTTAATAACTTTTTCTACATACCCTTCGCTGATTACTATTTACAAAACAGGTTCTTTATTTGCAGCAATAATGGAACTAAAGTCACCCCATATTTCACAAAGAAAAAAAAGATCTCCAGTGTAAAGTTGTGTTTTAATGCAGACTAAAAAAAAAATAAAAATAACAGCAGTGCTGATTAAAGAAAAAAATTAAAATATAATCACCTCATTAAAACCTGCACACAGAGGGAGCAGTAGATCACTCTCTCAGAGCAAAGATATGTTCTTTTTTAAAAAAAAAGGGAAATTACCAAAAATAGAGTAAAAAATTACTTTCCATTGGCACAGAAATCCTTGCAGCAGATTTGTCTTGTTTTCCCCATCCTGAGTTGATCTTTTATGATGAGTAAATGTTCGACTAAATAAAAAAAAAAGAAGAAGAGGCGGCTTCAGCAACCTCATGGCAGTCATTTCCAGGTCAAGGTGTAAAACGACTCAAATAATCCAGATCAACAATTGGCTAAAAAAATATATGGTTAAAATGTTTTGACTGAAGGATTTGAAAGTTTGCAAAGAAAAAACAAACAAAAAAAACCATCACATTTCTTTTTAAACCATCGGGAGAAAAATGCATGAAAAAAGGAAAAAAAAAAAACTTGATTGTAGCCATTTATTATGGCCCCTTATCCCCATTCATCCCCCTCCATGCAGTTGAGTGGCGATGAGCATGGTCCATTTTTGCATACCAGAGCAGCCTGGTTACAGGTTATCCCCAGGCTGGTACTGAGGCTCGGTGGAGGTGAAGTAATCCTCAAGGAAGCCCTGCAGGTACTCAAAGGTGGGCCTCTCCTCTGGCTCCTTCCTCCAGCAGTTTAGCATCAGCTCGTGGAGAGAGGCGGGGCATTCTGCTGGACAGGGCATCCGGTAACCGCGCTCCACCTGATCCAGAACCTCCCTGTTCACCATACCTGGGAGACCAGAACACACTTTTAGAGTCCGATTGTTTAACTTAGGGGAGAAAAAAAACAAACAAAGTAAAAGCTGCTATTTACTGTGGAATGGTATTTTTCTTTGGCCTGTTTGTCAGTGATGTTAAAGTCTGTTTTTTCTCTTTTCTTCAATAAAAGTGATTACTTAGGCCCCGTCCACACGAAGTCAAAACGAACACGAAACGCTAATATTTTCCAAAACGTTTGCCGTAAAGACGGAGACGTAAAATAAATGTGATCGTCCACACGAATGCATGAAAACGCTGCAAAATGTATGCCAGGCCTGTAAGTGGCGCTGTGGTGCCAAAGCAAAAATAAGCGACGAAATGTTGGGCATGCCCACTAATATTTATACATGGTTGCCCTGCGGGTCCATTTTCGTGGTTAAGTCAAATTCAGGTGCTGAACTATGTCGTCGATATTGCTCTGTTCTTCCTGGAGATATTCCAGAAGAAGAAGATTCTGTTGTAAGCCCGACAGCAGGGTGAGTAGCATTAGCAGCAACGGCGCCATTGTTGTTGTGATACTGTGTCGCGCATGCGTGTTCAGAGGCGACGCTATGACGCATGCGTGTAAGAAAAAAAATGCGGTTAGGCGTAAAGATGGAAACGCGAAAACGGCGTTTCGAAATCTTCCCACTCTGAAGGCTGAATAAAAAAAAGATAGTTTACAGACCCCCGAAACGCCGGCTTCGTATGGATGAGAGGCTGGTTTGGTGAAAAATTTGTGCGTTTAGGCCAGGGTTCGTCTTCGTGTGGACGGGGCCTTAGAAGCCTTGCTGAGATGAAGGGAAAGGAAGGATGTTTGAAAGGAAGTCTCCCCCTAGGTTAGATAAGGGAGAACAAGTCAAGATTCTCACGTCCTGGTGTGAATAGAAAACAATTGTCATCTCTGTCCTTTGATGAGCTAAAGTGTTTTCTCTTGGGAAATGTTAATGTGTGCAGGGGTTGGAATGCTGCAGCCTCAGATCAACTCTGAGCTGCATTCAGCCGGTCGTGTTGTTCTCCTCTGCAGAGTAAAATAAAACCTTTTCTTCCTTGGATATCAACTCTATGTCTTTATATTATTTTTTTACTCCACATTACTTAAACCGGGCTTACACTGTGCGATCTTTTGCCCTTTTCGGGCTGACTTTCCAGTCGTGCGAGAATTTTCCGATCAGCCCGACTTTCAGCCTGATCGTGCGTCGCGTAATGAGGGGCGATCAGACTCTCTCAGGCCCCGTCCACACGAAGTCAAACCCTGGCCTAAATTCACTAATTTTTCACCAAACCAGCCTCTCATCCATACGAAGCCGGCGTTTCGGGGGTCTGTAAACAATCTTTTTTTTATTCAGCCTTCAGAGTGGGAAGATTTTGAAACGCCGTTTTCGCGTTTCCATCTTTAAGCTCTGACCGCATTTTTTTTTTACATGCATGCGTCATAGCGTCGCCTCTAAACACGCATGCGCGACACAGTATCACAACAACAATGGCGCCGTACTGTGTTGAATGGTTGCTGCTCATGCTACTCACCCTGCTGTCGGGCTTACAACAGAATCTTCTTCTTCTGGAATATCTCCAGGAAGAACAGAGCAATATAGACGACATAATTCAGCACCTGAATTTGACTGAACCACGAAAATGGACCCGCAGGGCAACCATGTATAAATATTAGTGCGCATGCCCAACATTTTGTTGCCTGTTTTCGCCTATTTTTGCTTTGGCACCACAGCGCCACTTACAGGCCTGGCATACATTTTGCTGCATTTTCATGCATTCGTGTGGTCGATCACATTTATTTTACGTCTCCGTCTTTAAGACAAACATTCTGGAAAATATTAGCGTTTCGTGTTCGTTTTGACTTCGTGTGGACGGGGCCTCAGCCTCCTGCCGATCAGGAAATGTGAGTTCAGGAGAAAATTAAAGATGTTTGAGTTTCAGTCAACCGTCATGGGCAAATCGCTCAGTGGTAAACAAGGACTCTTCTTCTTCTTCTTCCTCTCAGACAAAAACAAATACGTCATCGCCTTTTCTTCTTAAAGCTTTCAGCACAAACTTGCACAAATTGCCAAGGCAGCGCGTTTCACTCTAGTAACTTTCATATTCCTCTTCTACTCATTTGGCTTCCAGATAGACTAGTCCAAGTAGCGCCATCTCACAATGTACAACAAAACCACAAGGTTTCGTGTGAGCTGTAGCTGCATGCAACAATTAAAAAAAATCGCGCAGTGTACTAGGGGTGTAAATCAGATCCATCATGGCGATTCCATTCAGTATCAATTTCCTGACCCAACGATTTGATTATTTTCGATTCTCAAGAATACACCACGATACGATTCGATTAATCGGTTAATTTTATTATTTTATTTTTTTTTACACCTTACAGGCTAAACAAAGTTTCAAGTTTGAAATAAATCAATGAAAGCTGTAATATCGTTATGCATTTTTTTTTTTTAGAAACAACAGCAAATAACAGAAATAGAAAAGTTGTATCAAAAAATACTGCAGAAAATCAGTGCAATGAGTGCAATGCAATACCTCGGCTCCAGACGTCCCGCCTCCAGTGCCGCAGACAGGAGGCCGGCTTGTTTTGTTTTTATGACCGAAATTGCGGAAAATAACTCATGAAGTTTGACCCGCTAGAAGAGCGAGGTGCGCGAGAACGCTGGGACCCTTTTTCCACCTGGATCTCCGCTCTTTTTGGCCCTCATGTCCCTCCGTCGTCGGACTAAACTCGCCCCCACTTCCTCGCCGCCTCGGCCGTATCTAGACCCACAGCGTGTAACGCAGACCACGCTTCAATATTGAGCATAATTTAAAAAATGTCTGCATCAAACTCACTGCAACACACTGCTGTAAGAGTATAACCAGGAAGCGAGGTAGGAGGGCAAAATAGGTTTAGCGCCACCGTAGCACGGTAGGAGAATTACGCCCAGGAGCAAATGGATAAAAATAGACCGGAGGAAAAAAAAAACATGAATCGATTCTCTTGCGGACGTATCGATGCATCGGATCGTCTGCTGTTGGATCGATGCATCGATACAAAACGATTATTATTTACACCCCTACAGTGTACGCCCGGCTTGAGTTAAAACAGATATCTGCAAACCACAACGATTCGTTGCGATGGTGCATGTTAAAAACTGGGACTAAATTCCTGCTGAGGGATGTGAGAGGCCAATTAACTGAGACAGAAAACAGTTCCTGCGCAGGAGGTTCTACAAGCTCAAGAATCTTAGGGTGTACTTACTAATGCATTTTTTTACTTTATGTCTTGTCTTAGCTTAGTAGATAAATGCTCTGAACCTTTTACATGTTTCTTGTTCATTTTAGAGCTTGTTAAAATCAGAGCACAGGAAAAAAGGTGTGATTTCTCTTTACCTGGTCCGTATGTCAAACATTATGATCAAAAGCTGCAAAGGGTTTAAAGCATGAAAAGGTTTGTGAGAAAAAGAGCCTTGCCTGGATAGGGAACACGGCCTTTAGTGGCCAGCTCGGTCAGCAGGACTCCAAATGACCAGACGTCAGATTTGATGGTGAAGCGGCCGTAGAGCGCCGCCTCAGGAGCCGTCCACTTGATGGGAAACTTGGCGCCTGCAGGAGAACAGGTTGATCAGCATAACAGAAAGTCAAACCTTATCTATGAACATCTGGAATTATTGTCCCAGAGATGAATAGGAAATAAAATCGGACAGAAGGTAATCGAACTGTTTGAGGAAAGTTTATTTCTATTGCACATTGAATCACTAAAACAAGTCAAAGTACTGTAAATGAGGGGAAAAGAAAAATAAATTATTAAAAGAAGACAATCTTGTACTGAAAACAACAAAAAACAAAAAAAACTAATAAAGTTTCGATAGCTCAGTCAAAGGTCGCTCTGAACAAAAAGATTTTTAATTTCAATTTAAAGCAACTGAGGGTTTCAGCTCCTTTACAGTTTTCTGGGAGTTTATTCCAGATTAGTGGAGCAGAAAAACTTAAAGCTGATTCTCTATGTTTGGTTCTGGTTCTGCAGAGTAGATCTGATCCACTAACCTGAGAGGTCTGACAAAAAGTCTGTGATATATTTTGGGGCAAAGCCATTCAGGAATTTATAGAAAAAACGAAGATTTTAAAGTCTATTCTCTGAGATAAAGAAGCCAGTGGAAGGACTTTAGAACTGTGCTGATGTTCTCTACTTTCTTAGTTCTAGTGAGGACGCAGGCAGCAGCATCTGGATCAGCTGCAGGGATCAATTCTACTAAAGATGAATGAAGCAGGAATTATTCTTGCTTATCACCTCTGCTCACTCATCCATCCCACCCCTCCTTTGTGGGATGAGTTGCTGCTTCATCTCCTGTTCATGTCCTCTACCAGAGACCTGGGAGTTTGAGGGTTCTCCTCCGTATCTTAGCTGCTTTCTTGAACTGGACTGAGATCTCTGATGATTCTTCAGGTATCTGTTGGAACCACTTCTTTAGTGTGGTGGTTACTGCTCCCAGCATGGGCCCTACTGTTGCCTTCACCTTCCAGTCTCTCTCTAGTTCCTTCCTGAGGCCTTGGTATTTCTCTAATTTCTCCTGATGTTTCATCATGTGGGACGGTCACATCGATCACTACAGCCGCCCTCTGCTGCTTATCAATGATCACAATGTCCGGTTGGTTGGCCACAACCATTTAGTCTGTTTGTATCTGGAAGTCCCACAGGATCTTAGCTATCTTAGATGTTTCTGTTCACTATAGCAGCCACTAGGTTCAGATGTTCCACCTATTCCTTTCCTGCCAGTATCTTCCAGCCTGCTGTGAGATGCTGATTGTTTCTGGGGCCTCTTTGCACAACCTGCACCTTGGATAGTAGATCTGAGCCTCTATAATTTTGGTGCTCAAGGGTTGCTCCTGTTTTGCTATATTCAGTGCTTCTGCCCAGCCCTCTCTAGCCATTGGTAGGATTTGGTCACATCAGCCACTTCAGCTATCTGTCAGTGGAAGATCCCATATTTTTCCTTCATTTTCACATTTCCTTCATTCCCAGCTTCCACAATCAGAGAAATTTACTGGGTGTATCATCCTGTGGTGCCATCTTCCTGATGTATATTTCATTTTGCTTGGATATTTCATCTTCAATGGCGGTTCTGATCCGCAGTAAGCCTCTGCTTTGTTCTTAGTTAATAGTCTTTGGATGCTGGATTTGGGGTTGAATCCACCATGCATGGTTTTAACATCAGTAGCCTGAATTAGGCCAACTTATTATCCTGGCAGGGTATCTGATAACTGGCAAGGCATGGCTGTTGATTGCCAGGACCTTGTTCTTACCATTGAGCAGATTTCTCTGAACATGTCATAGTCATTACAGGTATGTGGCTGCTTTCCTTCTGGCATCTTTGTGGTTCAAGTCTTTGCATCCTGTCTCATTTTGAAGCACTGGAGGAGGAGGATGTCATACTGACAGGCAAGCATGGAGGTGGTGGCTTAAAGGAATAGTACACCCAAAACATGATTAGCCTTCATTTTCTACTCACCCCCATGCTGAACAACACTCTGGAGTACTTTTTTGATATCTCAAATGCATCTGGAGATCTGGGAGGCTTCTTGCTGTCTGCTGACATTCAAATAATGCAGGTCTATGGCGCCCGAGGCAGAAAGGTCCATAAAAGTCCACAAAAAAGTGTCAATATTACTCCATACTGCTCGTCCAATGTATTCCAAGTGTCCTGAGTGGGTAGCGTCCATAATTAACTCGAAACGAAGTCATTTAGAATGTTTTTAGAGCATAAACAGTAGTGTATAGGATTTTCTAAAAGCGCGTTCACGAGTCTACGGAAACCGCGGCAGACCAAACCAGACGAAAGTGCGCATTCAGCTCGGCAAAGAACTCATGCTCTTCCTCAACACTGAAGTCCTCAGACATTTTTCTTTCGTTGTTTCTTTCTTTGCACAGGTAAACAGCACATTTCTTCTTCTACGCTTGCATTATCGGCAGAGCAGACGCTGAATGCGCACTTTCGTCTGGTTTGGTCTGCCGCGGTTTCCGTAGACTCATGAACGCGCTTTTAGGAAATCCTATACACTACTGTTTATGCTCTAAAAACATTCTAAATGACTTCGTTTCGAGTAAATTATGGACGCTACCCACTCAGGACACTTGGAATACATTGGACGAGCAGTATGGAGGAATATTGACACGTTTTTTTTGGACTTTTATGGACCTTTCTGACTCGGGCACCATAGACCTCCATTATTTGAATGTCAGCAGACAGCAAGAAGCCTCCCAGATCTCCAGATGCATTTGAGATATCAAAAAAGTACTCCAGAGTGTTGTTCAGCATGGGGGTGAGTAGAAAATGAAGGCTAATCATGTTTTGGGTGTACTATTCCTTTAATGCTTTGGTATAAATTGCTGCTTCATGACCTGGAAACCCGGAAGTCACTTAGAAAACAACTTCTTCTTACTACTAATATATTAGTTTCATTATGGTTTGAGGCAGAGCAGCAATTCTGGTTCTAAACACCTCAGAGAAAACAAAGGTTTCGATTTGGCCCATCCAAAGTCTGGACATCAATCCCATTGAGATGCTGCAGCATCACATCAGACAGTTATTGCTCCTAAGAGTGGCAAAGACTGGTTACTGGGTTTTAGGGGCCTGTTAGGACTCACCTTGCCTGGCCGTATATTCGTTATCCTCAATCAGCCGAGCCAGCCCAAAATCAGCCACCTTGCAAACCATATTATCTCCGACCAGGATGTTAGCAGCTCGGAGATCTCTGTGCACGTAGTTCATCCTCTCCACATAGGCCATCCCTGAAGCGATCTGAGAAAAGGTGGAAACTTTGAAGGGTTTATTCAAAGAAATCAGAAAATCTCAAGCTGGGAAACATATTTGTACTGACCTGAGAGGCAAAGTCCACCAGCTGAGGGAGGCGCAGCAACGCACCATACTCTCCTTTCAGAAACTCCAGTAAGCTTCCTGTTTGCAGAGACACGAGTTCCAGATCAGTGTGAGGCTGGCTGAGTTTGTTAAACGCTATAAAATTTCTGGTATTTAAGGTATTATTCTGACCTTGGCCCATGAACTCTGTTACGATGAAGATGGGCTCCTCAGATACCACGGCGTACAGCTGAACCAGCTTCTCGTGTCTCAGTTTCTTCATGACCTGAGCTTCCTGCAGGAAGGCCTCGGGGGACATGGTCCCCGGCTTCAGAGTCTTGATCGCCACCCGGGTCGTTCCGTTCCACGTTCCTGACAGAACAAACCAGATCTGCTACCAGTGACAGTAAAGGCTCGGAAGATTTCCTTCATTCCTTCTGTCATGAGTTGACATGTTCTGTCAAGGTGCCAAGAAGATAACGAGAGAGGCTCTAAACTTATAAACATATAACTAACTGGCCTGAATAAGATAACAAGATTAAAAAAAAACATTTTTAAAGCAATTTTCTACATTTTGATAAAGAGTACCTTTATTTACATGTTTAAGCCAAAATGATTTGATATTAATATATGATTTTCCTACGACTTTAGGAGTGTTTAGCTACAATCTCACATAAAATCTACTGAACAACTTAACATATAGATTCATTTTACCTGTTGCTATGGAGACTTTGATGTAGTTTTCCAACAATAACTCTGGAGATTTTTTTCTTATCTTTTTTTGTTTATTAATTTTTTTAAGTCCCAATTTGCGCTTAAATTGTTTTACATAAGAACCTGCTAGAGGAGCTGTTCAGTGGGTAGCACTGCTGGCATATAGATTCAAGAAGGTTCCGGGTTTGATTCCCAGCCCAGGGTCTTTCTGCATGGAGTTAGCATGTTTGGGCTTCTACCCACAGTCCAAAAACATGACTGAATGACATGAATGGTTGTTTGTGTCTGTGTTTCCCTGTCCAGGTTGTACCCAGCCTCTCACCAGTAGACAGCGGAGATAGGAGCATCCATCGCTACCCCAGCTGGGATAAAGCATGATGGAACAGAGATGGATGGAACCTGCTGGAGGATGAAGGGCTCGGCTGCCCCCATGATAAACCACCGGCCCCACCTAGTGGACTTGTTGTGGAACTGACACCAAAAATGAGCTACATTTTTAAGCTACAACAAAACTTAGTAAATATTTCTTTAGTTCTTTTTCTTCGTTTCTCCTTAACCTTCTAGAAAAGTAAAAACAGCTCCAGCTCCAGACAGATTCAGCACCCAAATACACCGACATCATGTTGGTCTTTGACTCTAATCAAGCAAAAGATCCAAACAGATGAACAGGCCTCCTGATCATTAGGAATCATTTAAAAATGTTCAAGCATAAAATAAACTGGATCTTCAATAATGGAAAAAAAAGATTTCATTCTTAAAAAGAAAATAAACAAATGATTTACATCAACCATGCTTAATCCTCTCTACATTAAAGTAGGAGATCAGTTTTAGATGAGGACAGAAACGCAGTGACCTTACCCATCCAAACCTCTCCGAAGCAGCCCTGTCCCATCTTGACCTCCAGGCGAAGGGATTCTCTGGGGATCTCCCAGGCGTCTCTGGATAAGCCCTGAGTCTGAGGCTTCAGTACGGGACAAACGTCCGTCAGGGTGTGACACAGGCCGTCTGCGTGCTCTGAGGAGGACACCAGTGTTTGTTTCTCTGCCTTAATGGATGAGAACGTTAAAGTTGCTAAATTACGGTGAGGAGGAGCCTCTATGGAAGAGGATTAGTGCCACTGAAAAAAAAAAGTTAACTGATTTTAAATTTTATTTCAGTTTAAGAAAGGAAAAAAGTAAGAATTCTGACTTTTTCCCCTCAGAATTCTGACTTTAATCTCAGAATTCTGACTTTTTTCTCAGAATTCTGCCTTTAATCTCAGAATTCAGACTTTAATTTCAGAATTCGGACTTTTTTCCCAGAAATCTCTCTGAATTCCGACAATAAAAAAGGCAGATTTCAGACTTTAATCTCAGAATTCAGACTTTAATCTCAGAATCTTGACTTTTTTTCCTCAGAATTCAGACTTTAATCTCAGAATTCTGACTTTTTTCTCAGAATTCTGCCTTTAATCTCAGAATTCAGACTTTAATTTCAGAATTCGGACTTTTTTCCCAGAAATCTCTCTGAATTCCGACAATAAAAAAGGCAGATTTCAGACTTTAATCTCAGAATTCAGACTTTAATCTCAGAATCTTGACTTTTTTTCCTCAGAATTCAGACTTTAATCTCAGAATTCTGACTTTTTTCCTCAGAATTCTGACTTTAATCTCAGAATTCTGACTTTTTCCCCAGAAATCTGTCTGAATTCCACAATAAAAAAGGCAGAATTCTGACTTTAATCTTAGAATTCTGACTTTAATCTCAGAATTCTGACTTTAATCTCAGAATTCTGACTTTAATCTCAGAATTCAGACTTTTTTCCCAGAAATCTGTCTGAATTCCGACAATAAAAAAGGCAGAATTCTGACTTTAATCTCAGAATTCAGACTTTAATCTCAGAATTCAGACTTTAATCTCAGAATCTTGACTTTTTTTCCTCAGAATTCTGACTTTAATCTCAGAATTCTGACTTTTTTTCCTCAGAATTCTGACTTTAATCTCAGAATTCTTTTTTCCCATACTAAACTGAGATAAAATTTAAAAATCAGTTAACTTTTTTTTTTCCAGTGGCCCTAATCCTCTTCCGTAAGCCTCTCCATCAACTCACTGCGGTAATGATTGACGAGCTGCTGCAGGCTGGGGAACGGCGTGCGGGATGTGATGTAGAAGCCCCCGCTGTCCAGCTTCCTAATCTTGTAGTGTTTCACGTTAAGCCCTCTGGTGTTGTCATAGTCCAACACTGACAGGCAGTAGGCGCCTTGGAGGGAAAAAAAACAAAAACATTATTTTTCCTGCAAGCTGTAATGTTTTTGTTTCACCACCAGAGGGAGAACTAGTAGCACCTAACAGAGAGAGGGAGCAGCTCAAGGCCACTTCCCCCCCTTCCTCTGTGTTTGAACTGGGTGATGTGGCTTGTGGTTGTACAGTCCTTAGCTTCAGCTCCACACTGACCTAAATTCTGTCTTTTTTTTTCACCCTCCTTCATTTCAGGCTGTTTTCTCTCCCTGAAAAACCTGCACTGCTGCTGAGAACTAAAACATGAAGCAAAAATGATTAAAAGATAGTTTGAACCCTATTTTTTTTTCAAACCCACATGATTTACCTTGAACCTCACATGTCCTCGCTCCACTCTGTGCTGATATATGCACACATCCTCCCACATATACAAACAAATAGGGATGAACCAGCTGCCTATCAGATGCTCCGTTACTTTACAGACGCATCACCTCCAACATTTTAATCCCTGACCACCATTCTATTCTTTTTTTAATAAGAATTTTCATTGAACTTTCTAAAAAAAAAAAACTGCATTTGGCATTAGTTAAATCGGGTAATTTATGTTCATTATTTGTCATTCAGTAGACATTTCTGTATAATGGTTTATTGATGTTCTGTTCACTTTGTGTATCTGTTTGTGTACGTCTGGGTTTTCATTTAAAGAAATATCGCACTGATGATGCAGAGATCTCAAGAACTCATGTATCAGACATGATACACTTGCTTTTAGAGGGTAAAGAATTATTTTAGGAGAGCAAGAATGGAGGGAGACAAGTTTTATGGCGCAAAGTTTACTTTCAGACAATTTTTCCCCCCTTTTGTTTCTCTTTCTTCAGGCAGAAATCAAACTGCTCAATGAGGATTTCTGCACCTTCTCCACTTAAGATACAAATTACATTCATCTTTATTTATCAGCTGCATAATATGAAACCATCCAGTAAAAAAAAAATCCAACCTTTTAATCTGTTTCCCAAAGCAAGTTAATTCCGACCATTATCTTTTTTTCCTTGTATTGTAGTGACCGGTGCTGATTGTTAATGTTTTCTTTGATTTGTTAAGAAAGTTTATTTCTGTTTAAGTTGAGATTTGTGTAACATTCCTTATCATTGTGTCACTTTTGATATATAAAGGTCAGAAGAAAGAAAATAATATTAGCTATCATAAAGGAATATCGGCTCCAACAATTGGCCCAAAATCCGTTACATTGACATCAAAATTAGGGCTGCAACAACGAATCGATAAAATCGATAAAAATCGACTTTTTAAAGCGTTGGCAACGAATTTCATCATTGATTAGTTGTGTCGCGCGATTAATGCGTCATCCGCCGCCGTCGTCATTGCCGTGGGGCGCCTCCCCCATCCCAACCCCGCTCCCGCAGGAGTCCCTCTCAGCGCTGCAGTAAGAGGATGTTTACCCTCAGCGTCCAGACTGCAAATGAAGCGCGCATGCGCCGGGATTGACGGCGCAAATTGATCACAATAATTAAAATATCCTGCGCTTTGTAAAGTGAAAAAAGTCGTAACATGCAACTTTTGTAAAAACAAATGAACATGGCGCGGAAGCACCACTGTTATGATGCAGCACCTGAAAAGGAAACACGCTGGAGCCTTCAATGGCAGTGAAGAGAGCTGATCAGCAGGGTGAGCGACCATGTTTGTTTGGTTTTAAAGTGGGGAAACGTAACGTTCGTTTCTCAGGTAGCTCATCTGATGCTTTCCTTACCGTGTTAGTAGGTTACAGACAGTGATAAGGTTGGCTACTTATTTTACTTTTATATCATTTGAATTAGCTTAAGCAGCGTTTATATTTACTTTATAAATAAATGAACTTGCAAATTATGAGGGCAAGGCTTTTAAAGTTTAAATCTTCTGGCAAAGATAAAGTAAAGAAGATCCTGCAATTTATGGAAGTAAAGCAGAATAAAATCCAGCAAGATCAGTAATATGTCAATTAATTATCTGCCACATTCCCATGTAAATATCTGTCTTTGGAGGATGTGTTTTTTAGCACCCCTAGTTCTCTCATTTTTATTCCAAATACAATTTATAATTTGAATCACAGGGCTATTTTTATCTCTATGGTTAAGTATTTTCTCAAGTAGCAACTTTAACTGCTATACTTTCCTGTCTTAAAAGGCAGAACTCTTCTAGTCTAAAAAAAACCTCATTTGTTGAAATGGGGGGGCCTATTGTTTGAACCCCTTAGGGGCTTTTAAAAACAAAAATGTATTTTTTTGCGCTTTATGAAACAAAGTAGCCTATATTTTGTGGATGTACAGCTACATTTCTCATGTAAGTTTGCGTAGTTTTAACACAAACATTTATTTTTCATATTGCACCAGTACAGTTAATGAGCAACCTGTACTTGTGTGCTTGTTTGTTCTGTCTAAAATGTTTATTTTGGAATAACGAGGTTAATATAAAAAAATATTTTTTGTCCGATTCATCGATTAATCGAAAAAATAATCGGCCGATTCATCGATTTTTAAAATAATCGTTAGTTGCAGCCCTAGTCAAAATAATCGGCCTAAAAAACCCTCAATCAGTCAATCTTTAAATGCAACATCAAGGTTTCCAGTTAATCAGTTTTAAAATGGTTCGTTTTATTCAATTAAATTTTACATGCAGCTACAATGGTCCCTAGAGTATGATCCTAAGGTGTTTACTCAGAAATTGTGCAAAAACAAAATGCAAAACACAAAAATAACAAATAAAAGAGGCGGGAATCAAATTATCTTTCAGAAAAACTTAGTATGCAAGCAGTCAGCTATTGCCGCATAAATGAAAAAAGCTGACCATGATGTTGCATGTTCACTAAAACCAAAAAATTAAACATTTTTACAGCTGTTTTTAGTTCATTAGCAGTTACTCTAAAGAATCCAAATCAGTGCAAAGGAATAAAAAGGGCTGTTCTATGGATGCTGTTGATTAGCAGAACCTTTCTGCTATGCAACAACAGACATAAAGTGTTGTTCTTTTCAAACTGTGCTTTTGTGATTTAGTTTTATGAGAAGGAAACACAATCTAAAGAAATCCTTTTCTCTGACTTTAGTTTCTGACAGACTGACCTTTGGTGGTCTCGCTCTCTCTCACCACAAAAGTCCCTCTTCTGTTGTCTAAACTGAGCAGCATCCGTTCCGAATCACGTCGTGTCATTTTGCCAAAGAACCATCTAGAAAAAAAAGACAAACACAGAAATCAAAGTCATCAGAGAACATATAAAGGTGAACTCTGTTAGACTGGAAAATAAAATAAAAAATAAAATAAAAGTTTGTTTGTTTTCATTGGTAAAGGTTGTTGTCTAAGGCTTTTACCTAAGGAAGAAGTAGAGATGGACCAGTACATCAGCCACTAATAGTTTTGGCTTAAATTACAGTTTTATTCTTTTATATGGTTCAAATGATGCTTTTATATGTTCCCCAATTCAGGAGAAAATGATCCGCCTGCATTGCTGTTGGATTTCCATTGTAAATGTTTTCTTTTATTTGTTGATTTTTTCTATTTAAATTGAGACTTGTGTAAACATTTTTTATTATAGTGTCACATTAATCATATAAAGCAACATCTACCTAAAACAAAATCCTCCCAATAATATCAGCTCAACAATAGGTATCGGCCTTAAAATTCCTCTATCAGTCGATCTCTGGTAAGAAGAAACTGTTTTTCAAACATTTGTTTGCTTTAAATAATCAAAATAAGGTAAAAGGAGCTGGGGTACTGGTCGCTCGTCGTGGACTTTGTGGACTGATGTGAGAACAACCATCTTTTTGAAAAATTTTTTTTCAAACAACTTGTGACAAAAGCTACAGATCAGGGAAAAAGTTAAGCAGTATGGACAAGATATGGAGTGAATTTTGATCCAATATTGTTGTAAGCAAGAACCCCTTTTTTAAATAAAAAATTGAAACAAAAATGCAAAAAATTTAACTTTGATGTTTTATCATATTTTTTTTTTCAAATTTATTTTTGAATGAATGAATAGGAATTAGTTTCAGACAATTTCAAACAGACAATTTGACAAACATCAATAAATGAATCAACCAAACACACACAAAAAGACTAGTTAACATAAACCAAAATAAGCACGAGTTTCCAAACTAACTAAATTCAGCTGAACCTTAAAATAGAAACAAAACTCTCCACTGAATAAACCTGTCAGCATCTACAGCCAGAGAAGTGAAACGCATTAATGCAAATTAACTGAAAAGGGATATGAAGAAGTAAAACTTATCATTCCCTCTGCCTCTAATTGCACTTAAATTAACTTAAAGTAGACAAAAAATATATACATATACATATACACATATATATATACATATACACATATATATATATATATATATATATATATATATATATATATATATATATATATATATATATATATATACACAAACAATCTGAAAAGCAATCTAAAAATTTAAACTGACTTAAAATGTTTCATTGTTGTTCTTTACAACAATAATGGAAAGAAACATACTCCATAAAACATTAGTTGAGGTGCAGAAATCAGCAAAGAAGGAAATCAATCACATCAAGTTACAATCTGGGTATCTAAAGAGTTAATGGAGGCAAACACCGCTCTGAATGCAAGTCTGGTTGAGCAGGTTCTACATATAAAGCTGCATTCATAACCTGGAAAGGCTGAAATGATTACATGCGTCTGTCTCCAGTGCAAACGCTGCTTACCTGGAATCCAGTGTCAGTTTCAGATCACTGGGGGAAGCAGGAGGCAAAAGTGAGAAAGCAGGTGGTTACAAATTAAGGTTAGCTTTTGCATTGTGCTGATAGCGAGCAGACGAACATGCAAATCCAGTAAACGTCAACCAAAGACACAAAGGAGAGATGATTTGAAAAAGATTGCAGAGGGCCACATGCTGAATGAAAAGGTCAGTGCAGGAAAGGACATGTTAGCTTTAAAACAAAAAGGTAGATGGAAACACCTGTATTACTGCCGGTTGGTATGTACGTAACCAAGATATCATACCACATCATTGAGATTGAATAATATATAATCATACATACATTAATACATCTATTATCTAATAGTCAGCTAATATTTTTATCTATTGTAGAAATTATAATGATTAGTATCAGGGTGTCCAGATGTCTGGCTTTAGGTCAGACAGTCCAGATTTTCATTGCTCCACGTCTGGCGCCACATTCAGCCCGACGAGTATTTGTCCTGCTTTATGAGACACGAGGCTTTAAGAGCAGATTTTGTTTTCCATTTTTGCTGGGCTGCAGCACGACAACGGAATATTAGGCGCAGTCTGGATATTTTTTTTTCTTTATTTCGAGAATAAAGTCATAAAATTACGAAAACAAAGTCATAGAATTACGAGAATAAAGTAACATTAGGAGAATTAAGTCGTAACATTACGAAAATAAAGTCCTAGAATTACGAGAATAAAGTAACATTAGGAGAATTAAGTCGTAACATTACGAAAATAAAATCATAGATTATGAGAATAAAGTAACATTAGGAGAATAAAGTCGTAACATTAAGAAAATAAAGTAAAATAATTACGAGAATAAAGTGACAGTAGGAGAATAAAGTCATAACATTACGAAAATAAAGTCATAGAATTACGAGAATAAAGTGACATTAGGAGAATAAAGTCATAACATTACAAAAAATAAAGTCATAGAATTACGAGAATAAAGTGACATTAGGAGAATAAAGTTGTAACATTACGAAAATAAAGTCATAGAATTACGAGAATAAAGTAACATTAGGAGAATTAAGTCGTAACATTACGAAAATAAAATCATAGAATTATGAGAATAAAGTAACATTAGGAGAATAAAGTCGTAACATTTAGAAAATAAAGTAAAATAATTACGAGAATAAAGTGACATTAGGAGAATAAAGTCATAACATTACGAAAATAAAGTCATAGAATTACGAGAATAAAGTGACATTAGGAGAATAAAGTCATAACATTACGAAAATAAAGTCATAGAATTACGAGAATAAAGTAACAGTAGGAGAATAAAGTTGTAACATTACGAAAATAAAGTCATAGAATTATTAGAATAAAGTATAATTAGGAGAATAAAGTCAACATTACGAAAATAAAGTCATAGAGTTACGAGAATAAAGTAACATTAGGAGAATAAAGTCGTAACATTACGAAAATAAAGTCATAGAATTATTAGAATAAAGTAACATTAGGAGAATAAAGTCATAACATTACGAAAATAAAGTCATAGAGTTACGAGAATAAAGTAACATTAGGAGAATAAAGTTGTAACATTACGAAAATAAAGTCATAGAATTACGAGAATAAAGTAACATTAGGAGAATAAAGTTGTAACATTACGAAAATAAAGTCATAGAATTATTAGAATAAAGTAACATTAGGAGAATAAAGTCATAACATTACGAAAATAAAGTCATAGAGTTACGAGAATAAAGTAACATTAGGAGAATAAAGTCGTAACATTACGAAAATAAAGTCATAGAATTATTAGAATAAAGTAACATTAGGAGAATAAAGTCATAACATTACGAAAATAAAGTCATAGAGTTACGAGAATAAAGTAACATTAGGAGAATAAAGTTGTAACATTACGAAAATAAAGTCATAGAATTATTAGAATAAAGTAACATTAGGAGAATAAAGTCATAACATTACGAAAATAAAGTCATAGAGTTACGAGAATAAAGTAACATTAGGAGAATAAAGTCATAACATTACGAAAATAAAGTCATAGAATTATTTGAATAAAGTAACATTAGGAGAATAAAGTCGTAACATTATGAAAATAAAGTCATAGAATTACGAGAATGAAGTGACATTAGGAGAATAAAGTCACAACATTACGAAAATAAAGTCATAGAATTATGAGAATAAAGTAACATTAGGAGAATAAAGTCGTAACATTACGAAAATAAAATCATAGAATTATGAGAATAAAGTAACATTAGGAGAATAAAGTCGTAACATTAAGAAAATAAAGTAAAATAATTACGAGAATAAAGTGACATTAGGAGAATAAAGTCATAACATTACGAAAATAAAGTCATAGAATTACGAGAATAAAGTGACATTAGGAGAATAAAGTCATAACATTACGAAAATAAAGTCATAGAATTACGAGAATAAAGTAACATTAGGAGAATAAAGTTGTAACATTACGAAAATAAAGTCATAGAATTATTAGAATAAAGTATAATTAGGAGAATAAAGTCAACATTACGAAAATAAAGTCATAGAGTTACGAGAATAAAGTAACATTAGGAGAATAAAGTCGTAACATTACGAAAATAAAGTCATAGAATTATTAGAATAAAGTAACATTAGGAGAATAAAGTCATAACATTACGAAAATAAAGCCATAGAGTTACGAGAATAAAGTAACATTAGGAGAATAAAGTTGTAACATTACGAAAATAAAGTCATAGAATTACGAGAATAAAGTAACATTAGGAGAATAAAGTTGTAACATTACGAAAATAAAGTCATAGAATTATTAGAATAAAGTAACATTAGGAGAATAAAGTCATAACATTACGAAAATAAAGTCATAGAGTTACGAGAATAAAGTAACATTAGGAGAATAAAGTCGTAACATTACGAAAATAAAGTCATAGAATTATTAGAATAAAGTAACATTAGGAGAATAAAGTCATAACATTACGAAAATAAAGTCATAGAGTTACGAGAATAAAGTAACATTAGGAGAATAAAGTTGTAACATTACGAAAATAAAGTCATAGAATTATTAGAATAAAGTAACATTAGGAGAATAAAGTCATAACATTACGAAAATAAAGTCATAGAGTTACGAGAATAAAGTAACATTAGGAGAATAAAGTCATAACATTACGAAAATAAAGTCATAGAATTATTTGAATAAAGTAACATTAGGAGAATAAAGTCGTAACATTATGAAAATAAAGTCATAGAATTACGAGAATGAAGTGACATTAGGAGAATAAAGTCACAACATTACGAAAATAAAGTCATAGAATTATGAGAATAAAGTAACATTAGGAGAATAAAGTCGTAACATTACGAAAATAAAGTCATAGAATTACGAGAATAAAGTAACATTAGGAGAATAAAGTCGTAACATTACGAAAATAAAGTCATAGAATTATGAGAATAAAGTAACATTAGGAGATAAAAGTCATAACATTACGAAAATAAAGTCATAGAGTTACGAGAATAAAGTAATATTAGGAGAATAAGGTCATAACATTACGAAAATAAAGTCATAGAATTACGAGAATAAAGTAACATTATGAGAATAAAGTCGTAACATTACGAAAATAAAGTCATAGAATTACGAGAATAAAGTAACATTAGGAGAATAAAGTCGTAACATTACGAAAATAAAGTCATAGAATTATGAGAATAAAGTAACATTAGGAGATAAAAGTCATAACATTACGAAAATAAAGTCATAGAGTTACGAAAATAAAGTAATATTAGGAGAATAAGGTCATAACATTACGAAAATAAAGTCATAGAATTATTAGAATAAAGTAACATTAGGAGAATAAAGTCATAACATTACGAAAATAAAGTCATAGAATTATTTGAATAAAGTAACATTAGGAGAATAAAGTCGTAACATTATGAAAATAAAGTCATAGAATTACGAGAATAAAGTGACATTAGGAGAATAAAGTCGTAACATTATGAAAATAAAGTCATAGAATTACGAGAATAAAGTAACATTAGGAGAATAAAGTCGTAACATTACGAAAATAAAGTCATAGAATTATTATAATAAAGTAACATTAGGAGAATAAAGTCATAACATTACGAAAATAAAGTCATAGAATTATGAGAATAAAGTAACATTACGAAAATAAAGTCGTAACATTACCAGAATAAAAGAGTAATATTATGTCCCCGGATGTTGTTCTCGCCCCTCCCTCTTTACCCAGCATGCACCAGAGCAGACTTGTCCATTCTCCAGACAGACAGCTGTCCCAGCATGCACTGCGGCAGCAGCAGCTTCCAGGTTAGCGCTCACAGAGCTCAGAGTATTAGGTTAAAAGTTCCCTTTTCTGTAGTTGCTGTTCAATAAAAGTATGTTTTGAGATCATTTAAGGCGAGAACATTATACTTTTAAGCGTCACTATATGGTGCATTTACCGATTTAATACGTAATTTAAAAAAAATAAAAAATTTAGAAGTCGAGAGAACCATGGCAACCAGCACAGCTCCGAGGGTAAAGGCAGCCAGGGCTAACGTTAGCCTGTCTGCAGCAGCCCTTTTCCCATGTTTGAAGGACCACTGGCTCTGATGGCCATTTTTTTGTGTGTTTTATTTGGCAAAATGTTCATTTGATTTGTGTTTATCTGACTGTGTTCATTATTATTCATCCACTAATAAAAAAAGTAAGAATGTATTTTTATCTAGAGACTATTAATAACAGGAGGTCAAATGCAGCTCCAAACGAGCTGAGCGTGTGGTGATGTCATCAGTACGCTTCTGTTCCAACTGACCCAGATTTATGCTGCATGCTCCTGGTCTCCCAGAGTCCATCATTTCCTGTGTTCTTCTCAAGAACAAAATTGGTGAGGAACGTACTTGCGTTCTTGTGAATTGAGAAATGGCCAAGGATTCCTCTTTTTCTTCTTCCTCTCTGATAAAAACCCAGAAGCATGGCGGTGTTGCCATGAGTGAAATGGAGTTCTTTCTGTAAAATTGACAGATTGTAGTAGCCACGTTTGCTCAGCCATGTCTTTCTCCAAATATGACGTCTCCTTTTCCTTTTAGGGCTTTCAGCACTAAATTGCACAAATTGCCAAGGCAGCGCGTTTCACTCTAGTGAGCTTCATATTTAACAGGAGGCATCGTCACTTCCGTCTTTTTCCTCTTCTATTCGTTTGGCATCCGGATAGACGAGTCCAAGTAGTGCCATCTCACTGCGGAGCTGAGTCCCATGCAGACATGGGCAATGTGGAGTCAACAAGTCATCTCCATGTCATGTATTTGTTCTACCCAGCCACTGAAGCAGGTGAGTCCAATCTTCACTGTGAATTAACCTGTGCAGATTGGACTCACCTGGTTAATTGGCTGGGTAGATTAAATACATGACATGGAGATGACTTGTTGACTCCACATTGCCCATGTCTGGTCCCATGTGATTTTTAGACGTACAGTCTCAGCAGGTAGATCACATCAAAGCGTCGGGTCGCACAGTGTGAGAACAAACATCGTGAGTTGTGAACTTTTAAACCCTGCGTGAAAATCAAAAATGTTTCATTTTCTCCTGACCGTCGTGGGTAAGTCGCTCAATGGAAATGCGCAAACAAGGATTCCTCTTCTTCTTCTTCTCAAATGTAAACACAGAAGCATGGCGGGGGTGCAATTAGTGAAATGCAGTTCTGTCTGTAAAATTGACAGATCGTAGTAGCTACATTTGCTCAGCCATGTCTTTGTCCAAATACGTCGTAGTCTTTCTTTTTAGGGCTTTTAGCACAAAATTGCACAAATTGCCAAGGCAGCGCGTTTCACTCTAGTGAGCTTCATATTCCCCTTCTAGTCATTTGGCTTCCGGACAGACGAGTCAGAGCAGCACCATCTCACTGCGGAGCTGATTCCGACATGGTTTTTAATAGGGATGCACGATATTGGGATTTTGGCCGATATCCGATATGCCGATATTTTAAAACTCATGTAGCCGATAACCGATATCGATACCGATGTTAAAGCTGGACAAAAATAAGTAGTCATTGAAAATAGCAGTTCTGTTATCCATTTCTGACACTTTGAAAAATAATAAACTCAAATATATTTTCATATGCTGATATCAAATAGATTTTTAAAAACGCGGTATCGATCTATTTTACTTTCAAAATCTCGCGAAATGTCATCGTTCTGTTACAAACTCGTGATATTTTGCAAATTCTTGTGAGATTTTGTTAGTAAAATAGATTGATGCCGCATCAATATATCAACATATAAAAATATGGCAAAATGTCATGAATTTTCGGGGGATTTCGTAGCATAACGATGACATATAGCAATATTTCATTAGTAAAAGAGATTGATATGGTGTTTTTAAATGGCAATATATCAGCATATGAAGATATTGGGATATTTTAATGTATCAATATTTTTTCCCTCGTCTTTAGAAGTTTTAAGTCTGTAAAAAATTAGTTTTTGAGGAAGAAGAAGAAGTAGTATTTTTTTAAGACTTTAGAAACTCAGAAGCTGATCAAATATCGGGTTAAATATCGGTGGGGTGGCCGATGTCCGATATTCAGTTTTAAGGCCGACACAGGCCGATACTGATAGGGGGCCGATTATATCGTGCATCCCTAGTTTTTAATCGCGCAGAGTGAGCAGGAAGATCGCATCATAGCGTCGGGCCGAACATAAATCGTGAGCAGCGATTAAAAAAAATCGCACAATGTATGCCAGGATTAAGAGATGATTTCAAATGAACATAAAGCGCAAAGAGAACAAGCCATTCAGAATTTGCACGTGAATTTTCATTGCTCTTGCAAGATACAGATAAAAAACAAAAAAAACATGCAAAAAAAAAGAAAATAAGAGGAGTTTACTCTTCTGCCTGGATGGAATCCGCTGGAGCCACATAATTGCTGGGGATGTAGCCGTTCTTTCCGGTGGTCAGGGAGAGCGCCAGCCACCAGTCCCCTTCCCTGCACAGACAAAATGATAAGACACTGCTAATGTACCCGAAGGCTTTTTGCATGTATGATACACACAGATGCATATTAAAATAATTTTTTGAAGCCTCTAAAAGCATGAAACAAAGGGACAAGGTCATTTCTGGTTACAATGGTAAACACACACACACATACACACACAAAAAGTCTACATTTAGGTATGTTTGAGCTCCTGGCTGTAGCAGAAGCTTGATAAACATAGGCCATGGTCACTTTAGTGTTAAATTAAAAACAAACACTGGTTTGAAGCCATTAAATCATATAGTCATGCATTCATGTGGGTATGAAAGATGCAGTAGATGTATGGTTTAATTCATCCGGTGCTTGACTGATGCGGCTTTGCAGCAACATCTTTACTTAGAGAATTTGGGGCAAAACAAGGTTCACTCTCATTGCCTCCAGCTGACCTATGATGGCGATAGTGCTGCAAAGCTTAGCATCAGCTGCGCTGGATTACTCTAACAAGTGCTTCTGGGCTGAGGGCAGTTATGTGATGAAGTGGTATTATAATGCTGGGGCGTTATATTGGATGTGGTCTATGTGACACGGGGACAAGGTCAGAAGCTGAGTGTGAATTAAATTCCAGAAATAAAAAGGCTTTACGAACCTGCGGTTTATCTTCCTCCTACAAACAAAGGATGGTTTGTGATGCAAAAATGAAAACAAAAAAAAACACGAAGGGGGAAATGATGGGAAAGAAGAGAGCCGGTTAAGAGCAGCAAAGCAAACATCACAGAGCAGAGCAGAAGTGACCATTATCTAGAACACAATTCAAGGAACAATTCAAGATACACATAACCTGGTATCACGAGAATGAAAATGTCTTTAAATTCATGTTTTATCATTTTAAAAGAAAAAAAATTATTATAAAGATATCATTCTGACTTTTACTGATTTTCATTGATTAAACAAATAAGGACTAGCACCCTTTAAGGATGGATATTTATAAAGAAGAGGGAGAAGATTGCTCCTAGCTCCTGGAGCTTTTCTGGTTTGAACAAAGAGCCTATACTTTGCATTTTTCAGTATACAGGTGCTGGTCATAAAATTAGAATATCATGAAAAAGTAGATTGATTTCAGTAATTCCATTTAAAAAGTGAAACTTGTATATTATATTCATACATTACATACAAACTCATATATTTCAGATGTTTATTTTGTTTAATTTTGATGATTACAAATGACAACAAATGAAAATCTCAAATTCATCATATCAGAAAATTAGAATATTGTGAAAAGGTTCAAAATTGATGGCCCCTGGTGCCACACTCTAATCAGCTAATTAACTCAAACCACCTGCAAAAGCCTTTAAATGGTCTTTCAGTCTAGTTCTATAGGCTACACAATCATGGGGAAGACTGCTGACTTGACAGTTGTCCAAAAGACGACCATCGACACCTTGCACAAGGAGGGCAAGACACAAAAGGTCATCGCTAAAGAGGCTGGCTGTTCACAGAGCTCAGTGTCCAAGCACATTAATAGAGAGGCGAAGGGAAGGAAAAGATGTGGTCGAAAAAAGTGTACAAGCAAGAGAGATAACCGCACCCTGGAGAGGATTGTGAAACAAAACCCATTCAAAAATGTGGGGGAGATTCACAAAGAGTGGACTGCAGCTGGAGTGAGTGCTTCAAGAACCACCACACACAGACGTATGAAAGACATGGGTTTCTGCTGTCGCATTCCTTGTGTCAAGCCACTCTTGAACCACAGACAGCGTCAGAAGCGTCTTGCCTGGGCTAAAGAGAAACAGGACTGGACTGCTGGTGAGTGGTCCAAAGTCATGTTCTCTGATGAAAGTAAATTTTGCATTTCCTTTGGAAATCAAGGTCCCAGAGTCTGGAGGAAAAGAAGAGAGGCACTTCATCCACGTTGCTTGAAGTCCAGTGTAAAGTTTCCACAGTCAGTGATGGTTTGGGGTGCCATGTCATCTGCTGGTGTTGGTCCATTGTGTTTTCTGAGGTCCAGGGTCAACGCAGCCACATACCAGGAAGTTTTAGAGCACTTCATGCTTCCTGCAGCTGACCAACTTTTTGGAGATGCAGATTTCATTTTCCAACAGGACTTGGCACCTGCACACAGTGCCAAAGCTACCAGTACCTGGTTGAAGGACCATGGTATCCCTGTTCTTAATTGGCCAGCAAACTCTCCTGACCTTAACCCCATAGAAAATCTATGGGGTATTGTGAAGAAGAAGATGCAATACACCAGACCCAACAATTCAGAAGAGCTAAAAGCCACTATTAGAGCAACCTGGGCTATCATAACACCTGAGCAGTGCCACAGACTGATCGACTCCATGCCACGCCGCATTGCTGCAGTAATACAGGCCAAAGGAGGCCCAACTAAATACTGAGTGCTGTACATGCTCATACTTTTCATGTTCATACTTTTCAGTTGGCCAACATTTCTATAAATCCTTTGTTTTTATTGGTCTTCAGTAATATTCTAATTTTCTGATATGATGAATTTGAGATTTTCATTTGTTGTCATTTGTAATCATCAAAATTAAACAAAATAAACATCTGAAATATATGAGTTTGTATGTAATGTATGAATATAATATACAAGTTTCACTTTTTAAATGGAATTACTGAAATCAATCTACTTTTTCATGATATTCTAATTTTATGACCAGCACCTGTATTTCAAAGTGAGACTGTTACATCTTTAGCCACTAGGGGCGCTAGACCTGAGATTTGCATTGATCTCTTTAGTTTTGTATGAAAAATAACCTTTAAACAACCTCGACGGGCATGTATCCCTTTAGTACGGAAGAGGATTAGGGCCACTGGAAAAAAAAAAAAGTTAACTGATTTTTTTTATTTTATTTCAGTATAGTATGGGAAAAAAGTCAGAATACTGACTTTAATGTCAGAATTCTGACTTTAATCTCAGAATTCTGACTTTTTTCTCAGAATTCTGACTTTTTTCTCAGAATTCTGACTTTAATTTTAGAATTCTGACTTTTTTCTCAGAATTCTGACTTTAATCTCAGAATTCTGAATTTTTTCTCAGAATTCTGACTTTAATCTCAGAATTCTGACTTTAATCTCAGAATTCTGACTTTTTTCTCAGAATTCTGACTTTAATCTCAGAATTCTGACTTTTTTCTCAGAATTCTGACTTTAATCTCAGAATTCTCAAAATAAATATGGCTCTTAAATAACGAAAAATGATGAAAACAAGCATTAGTTTTTGTCTAGATTGGAGATCTTCAACAGGGGGTCCGCGGAGGTACTGCATGGGGGTTGCGAAAGTTTTTGTTGATTAGACTTTTTTTTATTTTCCTATCCTGCAATTTTTTTCCACTAATTGAAATGTCTTTAAATTCACATTAACATGAATTCAACAAACTGTAGTAAACAGATAAATGAAAGCAGAAGATGTCTTTCAGTCATCAATACTCACATTCAGCGACACACAGGAGCTCTTTCAAGCTGGACACCATTTCATTCACAACACCTGTCCCATCAACCAGGAATCAGAAATACTTTATCTAATAATCTAATCCAATAATCCCAGGGCAAAATTACTTTCTTTACATCACTCCATCTGTAATATAGTGACTATAGGACCTGTTTGATATAAAAACAATTTCATACAATATATATAAAACTAGGGGGTCCCCGCTCCATCTTGCCATCAGTTTGGGGATCTTTAGCCTTGAAAACTTTGAAGACCCCTGGTCTAGATTATAGACAAGGATTAGATTTAATGTTGATGAAGACTATAAAAAAAAAAAAAAAAAAAAAATCAATGACATTTCTGTCTGTTATGCATCTTGTCTATCAGTCAAAAGGTGAAAGATCAGTCTTGTTGCGCCGCATCCCGTGCTTATTTGGCCCCGCCTTCCATGAACCTGATGGTGGGACACCAAAGAAAGACTTATGGATATAACTTAAATATGATCCATCCATGAGAAAATCCAACGTGTTGTAGAGACACACAGATTTCTCTAAAGTTAGGTCATAGGTAAATATTACCTAATTGTTCTTATTTCTTTGTCAAGATTAATTGGCGGTGTACTTTATATACAGATATGGAAGACACAAAAACATTTTTTTTTTTTAAATCAGGCAAAAATTAGACTAAAACTTTTTTGAATTTACTAAAATGACTACAACTTTCACATCTTTAAAATTCTTAGTTTTGAAAAATAAGTATTTTTATCCAAAAGAATAAGATTGAATCTCAAATTTCAAAGGCTGCCAAAAACAATACCTGTCAGAGCCCCCTGGGGGTCAGTATGACGGCGTATTAGGGCCAGGCTAGAGACTTTTTTTTTCTTTTATTTCGGGAATAAAGTCGCAACATTTCAAGAATAAAGTCGTAATATTACAAGAATGAAGTCATCATGCAACAACTCGTTTCAGGAAAAAAAACTTCAAGCTCCGCCCAGCAGATGACGGCCGACCAACTCCACCAATCAGCAACCTGAGTCCACTTTGACATCCTGCCCAGTTTGATGATGCTGCTAAAAGATTTCCTGATTTGTCAAACTAATGCCAAAGTATAACTTCACATGATGCTCCACATTCCTCACTTTAGTGAAGAAAGTGCTTTTTGTAAGAGTTGACATAAAATACAACTTTATTCTCGTAATTTTAGGACTTTATTCTATTGATGTTACGACTTTATTCTCATATCTTTATGACTTTATTCTCCTAATTGTACGACTTTATTCTCAAAATAAAAGAAAAGAAAAAGCTCTAGTCTTGGCCCCAATACTCCGTCGCAGGTCAGAGATGGCTTTCACAATCATTGTGATGCAATTACTGAGAAACATGGAGGTCCAAAACTTATCAAAAAACATAAAACTGAAATAAAAAAGTAGTCCAATGAAATAAATTGATTCTTCACGAGCTGAAATGTTTGAGAATCACCTGTCTAAGTTATGGCAGATCCCGATTGTTACATGAAAGGAGATATGTGTGGATAGACAGATAGATATAGAGATAAATCCTTACATTTTTACTCTTAAATTAACCAATCAGTAGTTTCACTGTCTGGCACCAGTTTGCCTTTAAAAAGCTGATTATTAATCAAATTAGTCAAGAGCTGTTAAATGAACTAAAAATGAAGGTTTTGTCTTTGGTTTATGGGGCCAGACGGCGCAATAATCTATTGTTTAGCTTCTAGGTCAGCAATTTGTTGGTGCTGAGCAGGATTGTAAACCCATATATGGTCAATTGCACTTCCATTGACAATTTTAATGTAGGAAGATGAAAAAATGAAAAATAAGTACCACCAGCTTTATACAGATTGGCATACCATTTAGTAAATAAGTGGGACGTGTTTAGGAATAACAATATTTCATAGTGAAAGTGTGGTAAGGCCGTACAGTACAGTAGCAGCCATTCAAAATGTCCCCACTTTCCTTGATGGGCCCTTGGCTGGTCCCCTATAACAGGGTTCCTACAGCATAAGGCGAGTTAAATTCAAGACTTTTTAAGACTTTTTAATGCCACTTGGTATAAATTTAAGACCAAATTCACAAGAAACACAAGAAAAACCTGCTTGCGACAATTTAACCCAAAGGTTTATTTTAACACAAACCACTGCACTAATGTTTCAAATTTTGAAAAGCTTCCCATAGAGGAAGAAAGCTAAAAACACACAAATGACAGATATATTTTAACAATTATTTAACTGAATTCACAAACTTTGTTTTAGCAGGGAACAAAACAAATCAGTTTTAAAGCCACAACATAACCAGTGCTAAGTCTTTTTAGCAGCTATTTTTCTTTGTATGGTTTTCTTAGTATGTTTGATTTGGTGATAAGTGGAGGCGTTGCAGAGACAAGGGTGGAACTAAACTGAGAAATAGCGGCTGTTTCTCTCTAACTCCATTTTGACGCTTTGTGTTTCGTGCTTCGCATGTGTGACTCCACTGCCTTAATTCCCATCGTTCTGAGCTTGAATGACTTCTTGCACTAAATCCACTGAGCCTCATGTATGTTCCCTGGTTTTAGCCATGGAGAAAACTCTTGGCTGGATACAATTCGTTACATTTACACTTCTCATCTCCCAAATGTCCCGGCCGCAACAACGCTTTTATTGGTTCCGTTATCGGGACGGAACCAATAATGGCGAGCCATTTTTATTTATTTTTTTTATAAAAAGAAGAAAAAAAAAGTCAATTTTAACGTTTTATTTAGATTACAAAAATAAATCGTAATAAAAATTATCCTATTTATGATGTTTTAAAAATCAAGACCTACGAAAGACTGATTTAAGACATTTTAATACCAATTAAGGCCTTAGTTTTATTTTTAAGAATTCAATGCCTTTTAAAACTTCTTAAGGACCCACGGGAACCCTGGATAATTCCTTTTTTATACATCAATCTTTGTACTAAAATATTTTTTCTTTCATGATTTGTGGACATTAACGTCTAAAGAGAAGCGCCATCTCCTGGTCAGATCATGTAATTCAGTGACAGGGTGGAGTCAGAGTAGAAAAATATGCAAGAGGGGGTAACTTCAGTACAACGGAGCATTAGGGCCAGGCTACAGATTTTTTTTTCTTCTATTTTAAGAATAGAGTCGTAACACTACAAGAATTAAGTCATCATACCACAACCTGTTTCAGAAAGAAAGCTTTGAGCTCCGACCAGCAGATAACGACGGAAGAGTCGTTCAGTTTAGTACGGGAAAAAAGTCAGAATTCTAACTTTAATCTCAGAATTCTGACTTTTTTCTCAGAATTCTGACTTTAATCTCAGAATTTTGGATCTTAATGTAGATGGGCACCATTAAGTTAGAGATGTGGATTACTCAGCTTCACTGACAAAGATGTGAGTTGTTTGAGGTGGCCAGTGACATATTGGTGGAAAATGACGGAATTAGGCAACTTTTTACGTGCCCGAGGAGTCCCCTCATTAATGGAGGAGCAGAAGGTCATTAAAACAAGAGAGCTAGTCTCTAAAACAGACATGGCTACGGCTTGATGCTAACATGTTTGTTAGCTGTCAGAATTCTGAGAAAAAAGTCAGAATTCTGACTTTTTTCCCATACTAAACTGAAATAAAATTTAAAAATCTGTTAACTTTTTTTTTTCCTCTGGCCCTAATCCTCTTCCGTAGATAACGACCGACCAGCTTCACCAATCAGATACCTGAGTCTACTTTTGATGCTAGTGCTAAAAGATTTCCTGATTTGTCAAACTAAAGTATAACTTCACATGATGCACCACATTCCTCATTTTAGTGAAGAAAGTGCCTCTTGGAAGAGTTGTCATAAAACACAACTTGTTTCTCGTAATTTTAGGACTTAATTCTCTTAATAGTAAGATTTTATTCTCGTAATTGTATGACTATTCTCACTGTGACCTCTTTCTTGTAATATTCCGACTTTATTCTCATAATTTTACGACTTTATTCTCGGAATCTTACAACTTTATTCTCGAAAGAGAAGAAAAAAAACCTCCAGTTTCACCCTAATACTCCGTCGTACTTCAGTGGCTGGAAGTTGGCTGCTATTTGGCTATTTTGAATTAACGCCTACTGTAGGTTGACTGAATATTTAGGAACTATTTGACTCCAAGCTTTGTGCTGATGAATATGGTCCTGATGGAGACATTTTGGGCAGGAAAAAAAGCTAAAGAATGTCTAAAATTTTTATGTTTCCTTTGGTTATCTTACGTGTTATTTAGGATCTGTAGACGCTCCCCCTTCTTGAAAGACAGATCCGTCTCTGTTCGAGACTCGTAGTCGTATAAGGCCACAAATGCCGTCACACCTTGTGTGGAAAGAGAGAAATTAGCTTTAATGAGCTGCTAAATGATAATTATATAAACAGAAAAGGTTGAGACGTCTCACCCGCCAGAGTTAATCTGTTAGAGGAAGAAACGCTGTTATTGTCCACGCCTCCAAAAAGAGTGAGTTCAGCGTTATTGGTCAGTGACTGATTATTACTGAGTCCTGTGTCCACAGTCGGGCTTCGGTTGGGTGTCGCTGACTGTTGAGCGGAGCCGTGGTGGTGACCGCCAGCCCCTCCACCCGAGCTGTTGTTACTGTCCAGGCTGCGGGTTCGCTGGCCAACATCTTTAGGCTTACTCTTGGACCCCCCCATCGCCAAGACCTGTAGGGCATTAAGCAAAGGTGAGAGACTCAATGAGATATATGGAGGATAAAAAGTGCCAAAATTAAATAAATAAATACAGCATTAAATAAATAATTAAATGTGTCAATAATTAATTAAATGTGGAATTAAATAAATAAATGTGTCATTCATTAATTAAAACCATGTCACTATTATAAAGTGCCACAATAAATAAATACAGCGATAAACAATTAATTAAATGTGTAATTACTTAAATAAATAAGGAATTAAATTTATAAATGTGTCATTAATTTAATAAAATACGGTTTCATTTTAATAAAAAAATATATAAAATTATTTCAGTGTGCATTTAATTATTTCATGGTCCTGTGTCGCAGTGCATGGAAACCATTAAAATAATCTGTCAAACTCACCCATCAAAGTTAGGGGGCGGGGTTAACGCGAATCGAGTCTCTGTAATCAATTTGTTTCGCCTTAATGTGCAGGGTGACCAATCAGGTGTTAGATAACCGCCCCCTAACTTTGATGGGTGAGTTTGACAGATTCTTTTAATGGTTTCGATGCACTGCGACACAGGACCATGAAATAATTAAATGCACACTGAAATAATTATATATATTTTTTTAATAAAATGAAGACGTATTTTATTAAATTAATGACACATTTATATATTGAATTCCTTATTTATTTAATGAATTACACATTTAATTAATTGTTTATCACTGTATTTATTTATTTAATTGTGGCACTTTATATTAGTGACGTGGTTTTAATTAATGAATGACACATTTATTTATTTAATTCCACATTTAATTAATTATTGACACATTTAATTATTTATTTAATGCTGTATTTATTTATTTAATTTTGGCACTTTTTATCCTCCATAGGGATAAACAGATGAAGCATAAATTGAATGAAACTGAACTGCTCTACAATGTGAAGCGGAAAGAAGATAATTAGGCATCAAACAGTCTAATTTTCTGGTCAGATTGATTTTCTTTATAATCCATTTAAGCGCCTTTTGACCACAGAGCCAGAACTAAAACCCAGAGAGGGTCTGGAATCTCCCATTTTATCTCAAACACACACACACTGATGGCTATCAGAAAGAAGAGCAGCTGTCACTCTTTGGTTTCAGACAAACATGAAATCCCCTTCAGTCCACAGCAACCAGCAGAGCGAACACATATCTGCCGTAAAAAAACTGCAAGGACAAATCTCAGCAACAGCCGCTTGCGCAGAGATACATGCAGCCAGAGGAACCTCTGTGGGGGTCCTTTTCTTCAACCACAGATGGTTGAAGAAAACTCTAAATCATGTCTCAGTCTCTGCTTTTTCTCCCACAATGTTTACATTTGATCACTGCTGTACTTTAAGAAAACGTAAATGTCATTAGAGCTGAAAAAAAACTAAATTTTGTTTTGTATACTTTTTGTATCAGCTGTGCTGCTGCCATCAACACCTTTGTTTCTGTTTTTCAGTGTAGTCCTGTTTCTCTGACTGTGATTAACTGGATGTGCTCTCTTCATCCTCTGACATGGGAGCTGGCTCGGAGCTTATCTGCCTGGCTATGTGTTTCCTGGATGGGGCCGCCTTTTCCAGTTACCTTTTGTATCTATGCTTCTTTTTCTATGTCTGCTTCAGTCTCCTTGAACCCCAGTCGGCCTCAGCAGATGGCCGCTCACACTGAGCCTGGTTCTGCTGGAGGTTTCTTCCTGTTCAAAGGGAGTTTTTCCTCTCCACTGTCGCTACAAGCATGCTTAGTGTGAGGGATTGCCTTCGAATCAATGAGTCGATGCAATCAACTGGTTTTCTTTAGATAGAAAACTTTGAATCAATCTGACGATGACTCGGTATGATCTGGTGAACTGTAAAGTACCTTGAGATGACGTGTTGTGAATTAGCGCTATAGAAATAAACTGAATCGAATTGAATTATACACTCTGTATACAAAATAACAATAAATGTTGTCTAAGTTCAGAACACAGAAAATGCCTCCTGCCTAACAAACACCATATTTATTGTGTTTGCATCAAGGTCTCACGTGAATGTTAATCCATCTTTTAAGAGAAAAAACTACGAAAAAAAGAAAATGTTACTTACAGTAGAGCAGTTTTATGGAGCTACATTGGTGACGTAAAGTTTTTTCAAAAACATCTTTTTGTGAAACTTTAGTGTGAGTTTCAGAAAACAAAGTCAATGCACGCACAGATCAATAAATGACAAAAATAAATTTGGAACAGAAGCAAAATTTGTTTAAAATAAAAAGAAATACTTAAAAATACTTTCCAGTTTGCCTTTTTTTCCAGTTTTAAACTGCTGTCCCATTAGTATGGGGGCGGGACTTAGGTAACATGAGTGTGAAATGATGACTGACAGGCTTAGGTGCCTTAAAATGTTCCCAGCTGTTGAATTAAAGAACTGTTTGAATCAGAAATGTCTTTAAAACATTAAAGATATTCTATGTTGATAAGATTCGTTTTAAAAATTAACTCCCTTCATTAATCCAAGCTCATGATGGTGTTGGAGGCTGCTGTCAGTCGGTCTGTTCTTCCACTTTTTTTAAAATCATGGGACCAAAGCAGACTGAATACACCATCTGCATTTGTCAATATCATAATTTCGCCACTAGTTGGCTTGTACTTATGAAGTGCTGTTTCAAGTGAGACGTTAATAAGATCATTGGTATGTTCTGAATTTAACAGCTTAGACCAATGAAGCAAAAAAATGGAACATCAATTATATTCTGAAGAAATTTCTAGGTATGACGGTTCCTGAATGCAACAGCAAGGAATCTTTTGTCCTTAAAACTGTCAGTCATCATTCCACACCTTAAGTCATCAAGGCCCCGCCCACTTGAAGGGACCAGCAGTTTGAAAAAAGCAAAAAAAATGTACATTTTTTATGTTTTTTTTTTATTACAAATCTTTTTATGAGTTTGAATTATTTATTTTTTTCTAATTTAAAAGAAAAATAGGATCAAATCTTATGGCCCCAATTCAGCTCCATATATTTCCATCCAGTTCTCAGCAAATTAACCAGTGATGTAAGCACTGTAGTGCATTTTTACAGGCTTAGGCGCCTTAAAATGTTCTCAGCTGTTGAATTAAGGAACCAGAAATATCTTTAAAACATTATAGATATTCTATCTTTTTAAGATTGATTAAAAAAATAAGATTTGTTTTAAAAATAAACTTCCTTCACTGAACAAATGGTACATTTATTCATTTGATGATATATTTAAAAACGTATTTGTTTAATTTAACATTTTATAATTTAATTGTAGATTTTTCACTCATAAATAATGTATTGTTTTTTAATTTCATGACATATTTATTTATTTTATTTTGTCCCTCTTAACCCTCCATACTTTAGGAAACACTTGCACTAGAATCTAAATATGTACGGTTGAGGTTCTTCCTGCTTGGAGTTGGAAATTAAAAGAAAAAAATAATCATGGAGGGGTGTGTGTGTCTGGGGTAAAGTCAGGGTTAATGTGGGTCACTAACCTGACTCCGCCAGATGGATTTGCTCCGCATTTCCATCTGGAAACCTTCCGTTGAAGTAATTTTGGGAAGGGGCGAAAACACTGGTTAGCTGATTGGCCTATGTTGGTGATAGACGGGCCAAATAAACCAATCAGATCAATGAAGCATATGAGGTACTAACAGAGCGACGACGAAAACACAACCACAAGCCAGGCTACTCTTGCCGAAACCAGTCGGGAGAAGAGCAAAAACATCTTTTCCTCTGAGAAAAGCCTCCAGAGCAGTGTTTTGCTCTTCTTTCAGTGAAGAAATACTCTGTAATTCCGATAAAACTTGCTCGATAGCCACGCTAACGTTAGTTTCATCGGCTGAAGCCGCCATGTTCTTTAGACTGAACTGTCGCGCTTCTCGTTGCGTCACACCTCAACCCGCCTCAAAGCCAACGCTGATTGGACGTTCGTTTGGTGAACGGCTCCAAATTTTCTTTAACGGAGAGTCCTCCAGACTGATCTGCGAGTGAAACCTTGAAAGCTCGCGAGATCAGGATGGTCTCACGATGCTAGTGGGTCACATCATTAACCTTCTGCTCATATGTGCTGCGCAGCTCCTGTTGTTTTAGGAGGCTGTGCGTCTTCAGAATACTCCGAAAGCTTTGTCAAATTCATGAGTTTAAAAGGGAAGGTTCAGCTCCTAAATGAGGGAAACAACATTTTACTCCATGACTTATTAAATCGGTGGACAAGGGATGGACCTCTGACATATAGTGGAAAATCTCTGTTAAAGCCAAACAGAACTGATGAATCTGTCATTAGTTCCTTTCAGTCATCTTGAACATTTCCTAATACCAGCAACCCTTCTCTTACCACAGTCTATCAAAGAATGAATACCATGGGTGATATAAGGTGTGTTGGTGAAAACAGTGCAACACAAAGGATCTGGTCTTCAAAACTCCAAATAAGAGGCGTTAAATTGCATGCTCAATTAATTTTTTTAAGCATGCAATAAGTGCACGAGTTGCAGGTGATTTACAAAGATAAGACGTGCAAACCGGTTTTGTTCTGCTCCTTTAAATAAGCGAATTGTGTTTCTACTGGTAGTTCCAGAACAACAGTAAAAGAAAGTTATGGTTCAAAGCCATTGAGTTAGAGGTGATAATGATAAAAATAAGCCTATTTAAAAAAAACATAAATGGTAATACTTAATAATATTATATTACACTTCACATAGTTAGCCTTCTAAGAGTGTTATGAACAGAAGTAATAAAAAGTAAAGAATAAAGCAGCTGTTTTCTAAACCAGAAGGTGGAAGCATGTTGAACGTCCTACTTAGACATTTTAAAAGTTAGTATATGAAGCAAAAACGGACAAAAAAAAGCAGAAATGAATTATTCACAAAAATATACTAAAGAGAAAGAAGACTAATACAGTATTTATGCCTTTTTAAGAGTTATTATGTTTTATGGGGAGAGCTTGTCTCTGAAGTTCTTTATGTCATTAAAGATAAAGAACTGCTCAAACCATTTAATAT